ATAGGTTCTCTCATTTATTGCCCACACGCGAATTTATAAACTACGGGGTTTTAGTATTGTTATTTGTACAAACTATACACACCTCGCGCGAGCGCGCAAAAGGATCGTGCCGAGGATGGCAACGACAGGGAAGATGTGAAAAAGCGACGACTTTCGGAAGTTCATGAAAGTTCGTTTACACAACTCTTTCCCTCGCTGCGATGCATTATGCTCTCGAGACGTAGTGACCTGAAATCTTCGACCTCTGCCGCTCTTCTCGAGGGAACAGCAACGCGTCTCGTTATTCAGGTGTGCTTTCTATGGGTTTGCGTTATACAACGTGTTTCGAAAATCGTGTATAGAAAATGGTGAGATTTTCTATATTAGCAAACGCGTAAGATTTCAGAAAGTGTTTCTGCTCTTTGGCGAAAATACCGCTTTCGAAGCACCAAAAGGTTTACGTAGCAATATCGTAACAATTACTTGTTCGTGTAGGTAAACAGAATTATTTCATAATTGTCATCATTATCTATGATGATATCGAAACCATAGGTATTATAGATTTCAAACAAAGAAGGAAACTATATTATATATATGTCGAAAGTTTGCGAGATATGTGTAAGAACTTCTCTAAGAATTATGACAAACTAATATTAAATGTGCATATAGATAGAAAAGCTTATGCAGTTTAATTACTAGACAAACATAAGAAAATCTACAATATATATATATATATATATATATATATATATATATATATATATTGTCTCACTATGTATATAAATATTAATTTTATTTAAAGAACTTATTTGTTCTCAAATAAGTTTGCCGCAGTTTTATCATACATAGATAAAATCTTTGTCAACGCAGGCTGAAATCAGCAAGCTTGGCTTGTAATAAAATTTACGTATTATTGCACGGTTGTTGTCTAATTTTCGCGCAAACGCGAAAAGAGAAAATACGGTTCGAGAGTTCGATTTAACTGATACGAACGTGCATCTCGAGACTGGTGTCATTTTCTACCCGGTATGCTGTCCGGCCGACTACTTCTTCTGATGGAGTGCTTCGTCCGCGCGCGCAATCCCGAAGTGCACTCGAGGCCGAGTCGAGAGAGACCTCTCTACATGGGTGGTCCATTCTTCTTACGCATGCATTATATAAGTCTTGTAAAGTTCACACTAAGGACAACAGAAGCCGGCCAGACGTAGGATTCGTTAATTGTACCCGGTGACCGACCCGAGAAGAATGCGGGGAATGAGTTCAATCCAGAAATGCGATAGAAATTGAGATTTCGTTGTTACGTATGTCTATGAACCATTAAATATTAATATGACGCGGTTAACGAGGAAAGGCAGTAATTTTTGCTTCGAGATACATTTGCATTCACCAATAAGACACGAATCTGAATTGCGAACGTAAGAAATTCTTTGGAGAAAATACGGTTAATCCCCGTAGCAATGGTATAAAAATTACTTTTGGAACACTCTATACATGGCGTGCAATTCAGACGAATACAGAATCCGTCGGTTGTGGTCATAACTGATGCTCTAAAGCATGACTTGAGAATATAAGAGATACATATGCTCAGAATCGGTTACCATACGAAGTTGTCACGTTCGTTGCTACTGATATGGTGATTTGTCATCTTCCCACGCTGGGATCGTGGGTAATAAAATTACATACATAAACCCAGCAAATTTCTTTCTTTCCTTCTCTTTCTCTATTTTAATTTTTGTAAATTGTACGTTAAAAGAGGTATGAAGTTTTATAGTCGAGACTGAAGTTTTATAATAAAAAGTATTTAATCAGTTTTTTCAAATCTTAATTAAGTTTTACTTACAAGAGAGTTTATTATTTACTTTTTGCTTTAGAAAATGCTTATTGCGCACATAGAAATTAATTTATAAAGGAAAGAATAAACCCGAAGATTATTTGAAGAGCTTTGTTATCTTAAATTGTGTGATAGTTCGCTGTAAAATTAAAAAAGGAATTACATGTTACCGTACTTTTTATTCGCCAAAGTGATGCAAAAATATGTGTGACTAGGCGTGAAAATAACAGTTCACAAGCAGGATTAATCCTCTTTCAAAAATGGTCCAGAGCAATATGGCCGATTCATCATGGTGTGTCCTGTTCACTCTTCTCTTTTGGACTTTGGACAATGTACACGTGGGATCTAGAATACTGGGAGAGAGCGGGGAGACATTGCCTGTATTTTGAAGATAAGGACAGACCCTATATCGTAACGCTGACAAGCCCGACCCTTTCAGTACGATCAGATTTATCTCGCTTGCCCTTTAGGTTTCGCTTCATCTTCACCCTCTCATTGGAATTTCACACGGCTACGGTCCATCCCGTGCAGATGTAAAATATGAGACGCTTATATAATTGATGACAAATCTCGATTTAAATATTAGACAATTTATAATTCATTCCAGAATTCAGAGAATTGACTTCTATTTATAATTTTATATACCTATCACATACTTTGACATTCTAGTGATGACTAAAAATTTGTTCAAAGTCTGAACCGTGATTGCACATACTTTGACATATAATTTATATTCTCTTTTAGGTATATACATATATTTCAAATGTTTAAATGTTTTCCATATTGTAGAATACATACAATTATAAAAATAAAACTTTGATTTGAATTACAGATTGTATAAATTTATTTAAAGCAGAGCTGGGATTTAGTTGCATATTTCGGGCTGATTTTGTTAACTTCTACTATTTCTCATTTTGCCACTTATGCCATAGCGTAACATAGATATTACAATGTAGCATAGATATTGAATACAATTTTCTAAGACCGCCTAAAATTGCGGTAAGTTTTTTTAAGACAGCTTAAAAACGTGAGCGGTTTTTTTGAAAACACATAAATGTGAGTTTTTTTTTCAATACGCTTAACATACACCGGAGTTTTTTTAAAATCGCGTAAGAAACTCCAGCGTTTTTTTTTTAAAGCGCCTAAAGTTGTCTATAGTTAAGACTTTCAATTAATAAATTGAAAGCTTTCTGCTATTAACCATTAATAATTAACCAGATATTTCATATTGATTAATATGATTACATTTCTGTACTTATAGTACGAGCGCTCGTGAGTTGAAATATCCCGCGTTGTGTTTACACGCGTTTGCGGCTCGCGTTGTTAAGACAACGGCGTCGACAACGAAATCGGCCCGAAATGGGCATTTCGTTTAAATTTAAGTTCCAGCTCTGATTTAAAACACACTTGTTGTATCATGTCATTGTATCCAGCTAAATAAGTAGTATGTTTTCAAGTATATTGTAGCTACTATATACTGGTTATTAATTTATATAAACATTAAAAAGAAGTTTTCATTTTTTTGACTAACAATATAGATTTTTTGATATAATTTTGTTGCTGAAAATTAAATGAAATATTGATTTTACTTTAGAGTAAATATTTTATATATAAAATATTAGTTTACGCAGATTGATTTTTATTAAAATTTTGTTTCATTATAAATGTTTAGAGAAAAACTAACAATTATTATAGTAATAGTATATATGTATACATAAAATGGAAGCTCGAGCTCGAATTTTTTTTTATTAAAAAAAGGAACATATAAAGAGCTCGAGCATTTACTAAACAGTAGAGTCATCTGGTAGATTTTATAAGAGATAGTTCAGGACGAATTATATGCCGTCAGTTTTGTATATCTCGAAGTTAACGATTGACGATAATTACGAAATAAAGATAATTAACTTATTAGAAAATACTGTGAATGTATAGAAATATAAATATATATTATTTTGGCTATTTATTATTATGCAGTAACTTTAGATCCGTAAAAATTTAGCTATAACTTTCACCAAGTTATCTCAGAAGCTTGTTACAACACAATTTAATCATTTAAGATATGAGAACGATTGTATTCATATTAAGTTTTTTTATATTAATACTTTTTATATGCACAAGATGCTTAAATATTTTTCGCAATTCTTCTAAATTTCCTTATCGACAAAACGAATTATTATCAGTCGGCAAATTCAATAGATGTTCGATCGCAATAGCGTTACTCTATAGATAATATTCTTTCGTTTTACATTTTGTACCTTGAATCAATAATCATTGCACCACTAACGTTGTTATCCTTAGTCGATCACCTTAGTCGACTTGTCTTTATTTTATATTATCGATTTTTTTTTAATTTATATATTAATTTATAAATCGATACAAAATTATGGTTATCTGGGTATATGTGATACTGACAGCGGATAATCTGAAATAAAAACAAAACTTTAAAATTTTCATTTGGCGGCAATTTAATTTGTAAAATTAAATTGCAAAATATTGTAAAATTAAACGCAAAATTCTAAATCTATACATATATGTTGCAAATATTATATAATAAAGTTTAAATAACGAATCTAAAATTAATAAGTAAATTGATAATTAAATTAAGTTAATGCATTTTATACTTTTACATAATTGCAATATTTTTAAAGTATCATTTTATGATTATTTTTAATGGTTTTTTGTACAAAGATATTATTATTAAATATTATTGTTGAAGATAACAAAACCTATCTGATTTACGTTAACAGTTATAATCATATATACATTTGTATAATACATATATTCTATATACTGTATTTTGTATTTACTTACTATATTTTCGATATGTTGTGATAAACTTCATTGCACTTCTTTAACATATACAATTTTCATTTTAAGCAAATAATTTCTCTTTAGATGGTCTGGGATGATGTATACATAGATGTAGGTAGAGACAGGACACTGCAGGATTTAATAGATGTTAATTTATTGTGATTAATATTGTTCTCTTAACACTATATCTTTTTTAATCTTTCAACACGTCTTTCCTTACAATGTATTCTAATGATTTTATCTATATCTTTAAACAACTACTTTCGTCTTTTGCTTTATCAAAAGCGACCGATTCGGCAATTTAATCAATGAATGTCGGGATGAAACATTCAACTGTACTTCGTGACTGCAATAAATAAAATATTTAAGCTACGTCTGCATCAAGATTTCATAACCCGTAATTGATAGTTTGCTGACATTGTGCGACATAACGTTGAACTGTAAGCCACAGTTTGGCATAAAAGTATAGCAGAGCACGACATCATGTATAAGATATGTATTTTAAAACTGTTGCGTGTGCGAAAACATCGTTCTGCGTGGGGACGCAAAACTGCAAGTTTTATGCCACGATAATGATATAGTTGTCGACTGCATAGACGGAAGTCGCAGATAAAAAATTGAATTGTGAAAATATAGACTCTTTTATGGTCAGTTAAATCTTCTTATTTGTCTACATTTGTGCTACAAAGAATTATATTCGTCATATATTGCAGTGCTCAATACACCTGTATTTTTTTACTACCGATAATCAAAAGACACTAAATTAAAAACTATCACCGTCCTTTTATTTTACAATTAGTTTCTTTTTAACGAAAATTTAATTATGCATTATTATTTTACAGTTATTTAATATATGTATGTAATTTGCTAACTGAAAATTATGTTTTCGTAAATTATAATAAACATTTTATTTATGATGAAATAATCAGAATCTTTCTATGATATCGAAAGTAATATTTAAAAAAAAATATAAAAATATATATGAAACTTATATAATACAAGAACGTTTTGTATAATAAAATCTTTGCCTTATAACGTTATTGGGCACGACAAGCAAAAAAGAAATGAGCGTTTTGACTTTCACATTTAAAGTTCTTACCATTTGCGGATGTTGGCTACCAAATTCGTGGACGTCATGGTACAAACGTATCCTGTATGATGTATATACAATCCTCATAGGTTTGCTAGTAAATACATTTACGTTGTCACAATTGATGGATTTAATTCTATCTGTGGACAACGCTGACGACTTCGCCGAGAATTTCTATGTGACGCTTGCCAATTTCGTGGCATGCTGCAAGATGTTTAGTTTATTGAATAATCGTAACAATATTGCGATGCTGATCGACACTCTGATGAAGAAACCATATAGGCCTACTGAACACGATGAGATAAAGATTCGACAGAAATTTGACAAAATCGTACAGCAAGTATTTTAATAATAATTATTAGTCATACGTAACTAGTTAAACGTAATGATGTGTTATACAGAATTAAATCGTTATGTGAGAAAATAACATACAAAAAATATTGCGCATAATATAACATATTGTCATATAATTAGGCATTGTTCATACAGGACCCAAAGCCACAAATACAAAGCACCTTTTTTTAAAAATTGATTTATTCGAGGATTAATTTTACATGACGTTAAATTAAAGTGTTAGAGTGTATTGGTTACGGTATTATGTACGTTTCTTGTGCGTTGACCTACGTTACGTTACGTTACGTTATCATACGAGAGTCTTGTGCGGAGGCTCTTACTATTGGTTGGTAAAGTCTAACGAAAAAGATGACAAAGAAAATCCAAAAATGTTTATTTTACAGAACAAATACGCTCTACTACGCAACTCTGGTCGAATTGACATGTGCATTTGCTTTAGTAACACGTGTGTTTGAAGACTACAGAAAACACAGACTAGCTTTCCGAGCATGGTTACCGTTCAACTATTCTTCGCCGATGCTATTTCGAATCGCTTACGTTCATCAATCGATAAGCTTGACGGCTGGATCGGTCCTTCATGTTGCTTGCGACAGCCTAATTTGCGGATTATTGATGCACATTTGCTCTCAGCTGGAAATATTAGAGTGTCATTTGAAAAAAATCGTGGACAAGCCACATTTTCTTCGTGAATGCGTCGTACGGCATACATGCATTTTTCAGTCAGTGTTCTTTATTATTATTTTTCGAAACATACATATAAGAATATAATTAAAAGTATAAATATAAAAATATAACCAGAAATGTTTGAAAGTTACGTCCAATCAATTTTAGATTCGCATTAATGGTGAATGAAAGATTTAGATTAACAATCACCATCCAGTTTTTAGTGAGTATGTTAGTAGTGTGCTTCAATCTGTATCAGCTAACGCAGACGAGCATGTTAAGTGCGAAATTTATTCAAATAATGTTGTATATGTTTTGCATGCTGGCACAAATCTCTTTTTATTGCTGGTACGGAAATGAAGTTAAGCTAAAGGTATGCATAGATATATATTTTTAATATATATATATATATAATTTTGTATTTTTTCTCGCATTTTTTTTTGTTTTTTTGTACATATTTGAGATAGTATATATGCATATATTTTAATGTCTAATATGACAGTAACATGTTAAAGATATGTCAAATTGTTGTA